GTTGAGCTCGGGCTGTGGACTCAGAAAGATCAGTCCTTTCTGGACTTCCTGCTCCTGGGAGATCTCCGCAGGATTTCATCCTCCAGCTTCTGCARAGTGAAGGACAGAGGGACATCTGTCTTTAAAACAAACCTGACTCAGACACACCTGGAGCTTCGACAGGTGTTACTCTTCATTTAGAAGCACGGTGGCTGCAGCAGAGCTGTGCTGCTTCACYGAGACCTGACAAAACATCCAGCAGTAACAGAGCTCAGAGTGAAGCTGAACGTCCTGGTTTAGAAGAACTTTGAAGGCTTTCCATTCTGACCTTTAAACCAGATCCCTTAAACCTGATCCCTTAAACCAGATCCCTTAAACCAGACCCTTTAAAACACCAACCTTTAAGCCTAATCCTTTCAAACCCAACCAATTAAAACCCTGATCTTTAAACCTGACCTTTAAAAACATGACCCTTTAAAACCCCGACCCTTTAAACCTAATTCTTTAAAACCCCGACCCTTTAAAAAACCCGACCCTTTAAACCAGACCCTTTAAAAACCCCGACCCTTTAAAAACCCCGACCCTTTTATCCCGACCTGTAATCCTGACAGCTGGTTTACTTCTTGTCTTTGGTGTTTAGCCTCAGATGGACTGATGTTTTCTGACTCCATCCTGTCTGCTTACAGACAGATGGAGGCAGGCGGTCTGATGAAGGTCAGTCATGTRACTTCAGCTTCCTGGTTTGATCCAGCTCAGCTCTGTGGGTCCAGTCAGGAGGGGCTTGAAGACTCCCACCTGTACGAGCTCAAATATAAACTCWAACTGTTCAGTGGGTCCTCACCTCATCTGTGGCCTCCTTCTCTGCTTCTTCCTCCTCAGCATCCTCCTCCTCTGCTTCATTTTTCTCCTCTGCACAAAAAAACAAAGAGTTACAAACTGCAGGAGACCTCAGAAACACAACCTGCCCAGGTGTTTGATTCACCTGCACTCGTCTTCTTAGCCTCTTCCTCTTCCTCCTCCTCCTCCTCTTCCTCCTCCTTCACGTCAGGCTGAGGTTCATCAGTCTTCTTGTACTGAGCCGGCGTGGCAGAACTCTTCTTCTACAGAACGAACAGAACAAATGTTCAAATCAAACTCAGAATTTTTAAAAACGTTTAGTGAATTCTACAAAGAAAAGGTTTAGAAACAGGTTTTTCTGAATAAATGTTGAAAAACCCTGATGAGGTCCAACATATCTGCATTAAACCAGAGAAACACCCGGTGAGGTCCAATATATCTGCATTAAACCAGATAAACACCTGATGAGGTCCAATATATCAGCATTAAACCAGAGAAACACCTGATGAGGTCCAATATATCTGCATTAAAACAGATAAACACCTGATGAGGTCCAATATATCTGAATTAAACCAGAGAAACACCTGATGAGGTCCAATTTATCTGCATTAAACCAGAGAAACACCCGGTGAGGTCCAATATATCTGAATTAAACCAGAGAAACACCTGATGAGGTCCAATATATCTG